CAAACAATATTTTACACTTTATGTTCTGTGTGGGTGAAAACTGATGAAATCTATACTTAATATATATTAAATTGATCTTCTGTATATAAAGATAATTGAAAATGAATCTTGATGTGAATGGAATGGGAGAGGGAGTGAGAGATGGGAGGGGTGTGGGTGGGAGGGAAGTTATGGGGGGGAAGCCATTGTAATCTATAAACTGTACTTTGGAAATTTATATTTACTAAATAAAAGTTTTTAAAAAAATTTTGTCCAAGCCCTAATGGTCACCAAGCGCAGACAGTGGCACTAACTACACATGACTTAGCTGGATTTACTTAAAATAAAGCAGATCGTGAATTATCTAATTTACAAGTACCAGGGAATCTCCAGTGAAAGCCACTGTTCCTCTAAGTCTCTGTCACCGTGCCATTTTCCTGTAAGTACAGTCAACCATCCCTCCACTTCATTAATTTGACTTGGCTGCACAGAGCTGTAGAACGTGTCACCTGCTCACAGACAACCAAGAGCTGCTTAGAGAACCTGCACTATTCTGATTTCCACCCCCATGGAAACAAGCCATCTCACGCTACTCCATCTGAGATCATCTCCCAACTCTGTAATTAGCACTAGAGATCCAGGTGTGCAGTAAGTGCCGCGCGACGCCTTGATGGGCTGATTCACTGGATTTGCATTTCTATGCAGCGCTCCCTGTCTCCCAGCTGCACCTGCAGATTCCCTGTGTCAGCAGCCACGCGAACGCACGCACTGTGATTCCGGCTTGATTCGGAGCTTGGGGGTCTGCACAGATGCCTGCAGACGCACTGGGGCCAGCGCCGAGCCCACGTGAGCCCCCTCCATCAGAGGTCCCTCACTCTGCCCCTATGGAAAGGGGGCTTATCTGAGACCCGATGGAAAGAGTAAAGGCAAAATGTCCACATTCTGCTCGAGCCCCATGGCCAATGAATCCTGCTCATTTCTCGTTAACGGCATTTGCTGCTGTCAGCCACGGAACCATTTAATTTGGGGCTGTATGAAAAGCAAGACAGTCACTGGCCAACTGACCATGGTGTCTGCACTCTGGTGGCAGACATAAAACAGCTCCTGTAGCTGCTCTCACCCCAAGAACTGTCTGGATTGGACTCAGAGGCAGACTGACCCCAAAGGTGATGAGGTTTAAGTGCCAGGGCCCCACAGTTTCCAAAGCCCTGGGAGGTGGCTCCTTCTTTCCCTTGAGGTGTCAGCTACCCCAGCACCCGGTCCCCAGCTCCAGGGCCTGATGCAGCTTGCAGATCAGCAGAGGTCCCTCTCTCTGTGGCAAACATTTCAGGGGCCTCTGGGCTCGGACCCAGGCATGGCGCAAGATCTCCCAACCACAGGTGTGTGTGTGGAGCGGAAGGAAGCTCACACTGGGTGGAAATGGAGTCAGCAAGGCTCACTCAGGAGCCCAGCACACGCTAAGCTCCGGCCTGTGAGTGTGCAGAGAGGCCACCCTGAGCACACCAGACCCCCAGAAGCTGCTCACTGACCAGGACGGCTGACATGGCTTCCCCAGGTGAGCTGCACAACCAGACAAGACCTTTTAAGATTTATTTTATTTATTTGAAACAGAGTTATAGAGGAGAGACAGAGAGGGAGGGAGAGAGGTCATCCTTCCACTGGTTCACTCTCTAAATGGCCACAACAGCCAGAGCTGGACCAATCCAAATCCAGGAGCCAGGAGCTTCTTCTGGGTCTCCTGTGAGGGTACAGGGACCCATGCACTTGCGTTATCTTCCACTGCTTTCCCAGGCACATCGGCAGGGAGCTGGGTTAGAAGTGGAGCAGCTGAGACTTGAATCGGCAGCCATGTAGGATGCTGGACCACAGCCCAGGGCTTTAACCCTCTGCGCCACAGCACTGGCCCCAGAACCCTTCTTTTCCCTTAGAAAAGAGTAGCATCAGCCACACTTCCAGACTTACAAACCCCACAACGCTGTTAGGCACAGGCATGCACAAGCATTGCCTTTGTGTGCTGAACTGATTGTGTTGCAAATACAGGGATCATTTGCTGATTCATTAATTCAAAAAGCATTGATCCATCGTTCACTGTGTGGGCAGTACTACTGCAGATATTGGGGATCCTGCAGAATATAAAACAGTCCAAAAGCCCCTGCGCTCATGGGTCTTTCACTTAATGGGGAAGTAGACTACAAGCAAGATAAATTAGCAAAACACATAGGAAGTCTAACAGGGATGCGTGTTGAGGAAGAGAGCAAAGCAGGGACAGGAATGTGGGGAGTTAATCAGGGAACACAAGACAGCAACAGGTGCAGGCACCGGTGGTGCAGTGGGTGAAGCCCCCACCGGGACGCCCGCATCCCCGTCAGGGCAATGGTTCCAGCCCAGGCTCCCCGGCTTCCTGCATTGCCAGCATTACCATGTGTTACCAGCTCCCTGCCAATGCATCCCGGGAGGCGGCAGAGAACCTGGGCCCCTGCACCCATGTGAGAGACCTGGATGGATCTCCAGGCTCCTGGCTTTGGCTGGCCCAGCCCTGGCTGTTGTGGGTATCTGTGGAGTGAATGGAAGATCTCTCTCTCTCTCTCTCTCTCTCTCTCTCTCTCTCACTGACTTTTGAGTAGATGGAAATAAATAAGTAAACTATTTTTTTTAGACAGGACAGGAATAGTTCTGCTTACAGGCACCTTTCTGGGATGCAGGCCTTTGTCAGCGAAGCGTCACACACAGGGGAGACGTCATGCCGGAAGCACAAGGAGGGGCCTGGACATGGGCATCTCCCCGAGGGGTCACTGTCTCCCCAGCCAGAGAAAGCATCAAGTCTGCGTGTTGAGCTGGGGCACAAGATCTGTGTTCTCTGGACAGGAGACATGGACTCAGGTAAGCCAAGGGTCAAGAGGTGGGATCCAACAGCAAAACCAAGCAGAAACAGTACAGGGAAACCGTGGACTTTCCCAGTCGGGGTGGACCTGGGCAGCTGGGCGGGCAGCTCCGAGCAGAGCCAGGGCACCACGTGAACGTCTGGGTGTCTGGAGGAAAGTCTGGGGAGCACAGTCCTTAACTGGCAGTCAGAGCCCAGAGGTGCTGTGCTTTCTGAAGGAGGCAGGTGGAGGGAAGGAGGGAGTGAAAGCGGGAGGCAGCTGCAGAGGAAGCCGAAGCAAGGAGAGCCACCTCCCGGGGCAGCGGTGTGGCCGAGCAGTGCCTGGCTCCTGTTAGGGGCCAGGACACAGCCCAGGTGCCGCCCGCGCCGGCCACGCTGACAGGAGGAGCCAGTGGAGGCTGTGAGGAGCCACCTGCCCAGGCAAACTTCCCTCTGCTGGCCAGGGCATCTCGCCCCATTCTAGGGCACTTTCACCTCCGTGACCATGACCCTGACCCAGCGGGCAGACACAAGGGCTCCTTCAGAGTTGACCTGCCCAGCACTCCCTCCTCCTGCACACCTGTCCCTGCAGCTGGACGAACATGTACACCTCCCAGCCGCCCAAGAAGCCAGGTCACCTTGTTAGCACTTCCCTCCCTCTGCTCCAGCCCACCTCCCTAAGTCTGCCAGGACCCAGCTCTCTGCCCAGGCAGGCAGAATCCCTGTGGTCACACGGTCCCCACTCTGTCACCACCACCATCACTAAAACTGACCCAAGTGCGACCCCTGCCCTAAATCCTCACTGCATCTGCTCCTAAGACAGAGTCCCGTGGCTCTGAGTGCAGGGGAGGGCCCTGCAGCAACTCAGGCTGCCCAAAGCATGGCACAGACGGCCCCAGCACCTCACCCAGAAAGCCCATTATTCGGGAATGTGGTCAGGAACAGAAGCCAACTGGAGGGTAAGGACGCTGTCACCAGCGTGGACTGTCCTGGGTTACACCAGCGGGACTCGGCGGGGAAGGTGTTTAGAATATTTAGGGTGGGGGTAGGCATTTGGTAGAGGTGTTGGGATGTCACTTGGGATGCTGTTATCCCACAACAGAGTGCCTGCTTTGGTCCGAGCGACTCTGTTTCCAATCCAGCTCCCTGTTCATGCCCCAGTGAACGCATGAAGATACAGCGCCAGGCTTTTACAAACCACAGCTTGATTTTCATGTCATACCCTTGCACGTGAGGGGCCAGAAATACTGGATCCCAGTGTCACCCATGAAAACGCTGTGCTGTGACGTTAAGCATGTCTCCTCTGCCCTCAGAGCCGGGGGGCATGGGTGCTGGAGACGAGCCAGGGGTCAGCCGCAGCTACAGCCCTGCCCTCCCACTCCACCCACAGCCCTGCCCACCCACTCCACCCGTACAAGAGCTTCCAGCGTCACCCTCCAGCGAAGTAGAAATGTGCTCCCAGTCACCGAGCCAGAAAGGCTGGGAACTCCCCGGGACAACAGAGACGCCACGCGTGCTTCTCCAACACAGAGCTTCTCAGAGTGAAACCGAAGACCACGCGTGTGACCCCCGCCCCCGAGGGACCGACAGAGTGCCTGAACTACTGTAGGTATTTATAGAACTCAACGTGATGTCTCGAGACACACACACGCTGTGGGAAGGTGAAGTCAAGCTAAGGAACACACCCATCACTCCCAGGCTCCTGCTTTCTGTGCCTGGTAAGAACACTGAAATCTCCTCCCTCAGCAAGGTTCAATCACACGGCACTTTGTCATTCACCACGGCGACCACGCGGCCTGCCCCAGCCCCGGGAATGCACCTCTCATCCAAGGGGAACGCCGCACCCCGTCCCCACCCTGCCTGCAGCCCCTCCCAGCCACCGCTCTTCTCTCCTCGTCTCTGAGTTCAACCTCCGTAGGTCCCACCTGTGGGAGACCCTGCAGCGTCTGTCTCTCTGTGCCTGGCTCACTTCCCTTAGCATAATGTCTTTGAGCCTCACCATGTGCCTGCAAATGACAAGGTTTCTGCCTTAAAAGGGAGTTCTCTCCCCAGACACAGCAGGGCCCAGGACGGGCGCCGGGCACCTGCGTTCCTGGTAAGCAGCCCAGACTCCGCAGGTCAAGGGCGCTGGCTTAGTCCGACCCAGCCCTTCCCTCCTCACCTGGTGGACTCCCATGTCCTGCTGCAGCTGTGGCAATGGCAAAAGCAGAGGCGGGCGACACGGAGCAGTAGGCACTGTCAGCGGGCTGTCCTGTCATTTAAAGAGAAAGGAAAGGGGGCAGTGAGGCAGACGGATCTTGCTGTGCAAGGAAAATTCTCTCCGTTACTCCTGCACTGGATGAAGGGCTGGGCCACAGGCCTGGTGCTAGCCCTTTTGACAGGCAGCAGCTCCACGCCAGGCACACGACCATGAGAAGCACACACGCACGCCCACACACACGTGTGCACCACTATTCACCCAAGCAGCCGCATGGCCCTCAGTGGCTGGACGGGTCATCCCGAAGGAGGGATTCCCACACAGGGAAGAGGGAGGCCCTTGCCGGAAAGCATCGCCGAGGGAAAGGAGCCAGACAGCGAGGGCCACAGAACGTGTGCTCGCAGAAACACGGTAAACGTGTGGCCGGGCCATCTACACAGAGAGAAGGTAGATTCTGGATTGCCAGGGCTGTGTGTGGGGGGGTACGACCACTGAGGGGACTTCCCTCCTTTTCAGGAGGTGGAAAGCTTCTGGAATTAAATAGTGGTTGTGCAGCCCACGTGCTGGGACCCCTGCACCCGTGTGGGAGACTCAGATGAAGCTCCTGGCTGGCGCAGTCCTGGCCTTCGGGGAGTGAACCAGCAGATGGAAGGTCTCTCTTCTCTCTCTCTCTCTCTCTCTCTCTCTCTCTCTTTCTTTCTCTCTCTAACATTGCCTTCAAATAAATCTTAAAAAAAAAAAATACCAGTTCTTGCAACCAGCAATGGTGATAAATGACCTTATTTCACAAGAAATCGTGTTGTTAGTAAGTTTCCCCCAAACTGTGGTGTCCCAGATGGACTACTAGTCTGGAGCATGCTGGGACTCCAGTGCAGGACTGGGGTCTGGGGCCATCTTGGGAAGGCCAGCCCGGAGACTCTTCCATGATCGGACATCTAAGACAGGTCCCACCAGGCAACGCGGGAGCCAGCCCCGGCTGGCTGCTCATGTACAGCCCCGCCGCTTGGCCCTACAGCGACATTATTTTCTTTCCAGTTAATTTTCATAACCAGGAAATGCCGAGAGCAGAACAGTAAAGCGCAGTCAGGAGCCAGGTGTGGAAGCCAGCTCTCCAGCTCTCACCTCCAGGCTGGCGGTAGCGCATGTGCCGCGGGGTGCAGGGCGATCGGCAAGGGGAGAGCCCCACAGTGTCCGCGGGAGCCGGGCAGCCGTCAGCGCCTGCTCGCTCCGCTGGTGCCGGTGCTGGTGCCGGTGCCGGTGCCGGCGCTGGTGCCGGTGCTGGCGCGGGCGCAGGCGCAGGTGCACACTCCAGAGCCGCTGCTGCAAGACACCAGGCATTTCAACAACTGGGGTGCGGGTGCAGGAGCCTCTTGTCAGGGCCGCGCGTGAGAAAACCAAGCGCACGTCCCACCAGTCCCATTTCCAGAGGGCTTTCATGTGACGTGGAGCTGCTCCCCCAGCAGAGCACAGAGGATGCTAACTCCCACACAGATCTGCTCCAGGCCTGCCGTGCCGAGCCTGTTGAGCCTGGCTGACCTCGCCAGTCCAGGGCAACAGTCGATGCTGCAAAGAGGGGGCTGTGTCATAGATTCCCTCCCCCTCCACACAGTTACTGCTTTCCTGGAGTGCGGAAAGTCGGACTTTTCCAGATTATAAGCCAGATTGGGAGCAAAACAAGACTTCGCCGGTTCTCTGCCTGGGGTGCCCCTTATACCAATCAGAGCTGACTGTCCATCCGCGTGGCCTGAAGGAGGCTCCCAGCACACCTAGGAATCTAGCGGGGCACGGTCCCAAACAGGAGCCCAACACCAGCCCAACACGGCTACCGACAGACGCTAACGAACGCTCAGTTGCTGCTTCCCAAGGTTTGGGTGGCCATGAGTTGCTGCTGGCCCCAGTGCTGTAGGGAACAGAACAGGGGCACCTCCACAGTCCCCCTGGGCAGCTCAGAGCTACAGGTGCAGGCTGGCAGGAAGCAAGAGGGAACGCAGGGAGTGAGGGCACTGGAACCCCTTTACTGCAGCTGGCATCCCAAGACTTAAGGACCGGTAGCCTAGGACTGTGGGCTCCAGCTGCTGCTGTCTCCAAGCCCCTCCCACTGATTATCAACCAAGCAAAACCATGACTTCACGTATCCTCTTTCAAGAAAAACAGAATGGGAAAGCATAGCACGCTTCCAACAGTCCTTATCGCTCACGGACAAAAGCTTCTCTCATCCTACATCCAGCACCAGGAGAGCTGCTCCCTGTGCCACTGCGTCCCAGACCCCCCCACAGACGCACACACTTTACAAAACCCCAGCGACTTCGTACGAAGCCATCTGCATACTGGCATTGATTCGGCCCCTTAGAAATGGGGCCACGCTGTCGCTCTGAAATACAGAGGGCCCGGAAAGGCACGCGGTTAGAATCCTTCCCTGAATGACTTAATTACAGCAAAGCCGGCAGGACAGAAAAACCAGCGCTTAGCTGTTAGTTTCATTGTTTCCTAACTAGCTCCCTCGGAATTCAGTAATGAAGAGCATCTGCCGGGCCGAGCAAGCAGGGTATCAGGCGCGTGTCCTCCGTCTGAGTCACCGCGCGCTCAGCCCACAGAGAGAGAAAGGCCATCAGCAATGACAGTGAACCCAGAACCTCCACGGGAGAGGCTGGCGGGCCCCAGGGCCGGGAGGATGGCGAGCTAGCGGGCACCTAGGGGTCAAGGAGCCGTTCCCACCAGGCGTGCACCTGCAGCGGCTCCAGGCACGCGGCATGGCCTGTAGGACCAGCGGGCAGATTCAGACCCAAAACAAACATGAAAATCAGCAGCACTTGCAGCCCACAGGGGGGCAATTTCCAAACAAAGGCCGCAGGCAGGCGGCTGGGGCTGCGCGGTGCCTCTGGGCGGCTCGGGACTTGCTCATGGGCTGCTGACAGCCTCTCTTCCCTTACCTGGCGCTGGTTTGATGTTCACTGAGAACCCACCATGGGGCAGATTCCAAGCCAGGGTGGCATCCGTGATCCCTGGAAGCCCCTGGGGCATGAGGGGTCCCGGCCCTGGCATTAGGAAGGGAGGGCCCTGGCGAACGCTGGGTGAGCCTGGAACAGATTCCAGGCCCGGGCTGGGGCAATCCAACCACAGCGCTTTTCCCTCAGCAGTGCACTGCTGCACGTGTGTGCAGGGATTCCTCCCGCCTCTCTCCCTCCCCTTCAGGCCATCTGACGTTCGGGTGCCGGGACATACCGCAAGGCAGAACCGGACAAAGTTCACTACCATGTTCCCGGAGGTGTGCGCTGGAGCGGGGAGGGGCCTGCGAGGAGGAGGGAGACACCTGCAGGCGAGGGAGAGCTGGAGGAAGGTGCAGAGACTGCGCGGGGCTGCTCCCAGGAGAGGAGCAGGCAGACGCAGCTCCTGGCATGGAATTCTCCAAGTCGGCCAACTGCTCCAGGTGTCGACACCGTGTGACGTGCACCAGTGTCTCCATGTCAAGCCAGAGCAGCGGCTCCCCTTGCCTTGTTAGCTGTGTGGCAGGGTCCACAGAGCCGTGCTCCTGGCTTCTACAGACACCACACACACACATGCTGACACCCACGTGTGCACAGTGCACATGCACACGTACACGCAACACAGGCCCCACCTTCAGCCAGCTCCCTCGTGTGGGAGCCAACGTGCTGTCCCCGCCAGAGTCGCAGGTGCCAGCAGCTGCGGCCACCACGATGCCCTCCCCCGGCAGGCGGGATCCCTCTCTGCCCAGTGCCTGCACTGATGGGTCTTTTCAGCCCTGGGTGCTGACCCAGGCCTCCCTCGCTTATCCAATCTCCCTCTGTCAAGGTTCAAGGCAGCTCCCACGGCTCACAGCGCACTGGAAACTTGGCCCCAGCACGGTGGTGGTGGGCAGAGGGACCCCTGGGAGGGGTTACGTCATGGAAGCTCGTCATGGGAGCGGGCTGGTCACGGCAGCAGCAGGGGATGCACAGGCGATGGCTCCAGCCTCCTTCCTTCTCTCTCACCCACTTCCGCTGCACTATGACACGGCTGGGAGGCCCCCATCCCACCCTCCTCCCCCACCGATGCTTCTGCCTCCCTCTGGGACATCCTAGCCTCCGGAACTGAGAGACGTGTTTCCGTTCACTGGAAACCGCCCGGGGCTCAGGCACCCCATTACAGCAGCACAAGACGGACCAAACTCCCTCACCTTCCGTCTTCCAGGAACAGCTGCTGAGTCCTGCTCCGTACCGCCTGGCGCTGGGCTCTGGCTGGATGGGCTCACCCTGAGACCACTGGGCTCCGGGGAACCAGTGCCCGCAGGTGCCCTGTGCAACCAATGGGCACAGAGAACCTGACCGGGACCACAGAAACAGTGACGCTGCTTAGGCTGTGATGAGGAAAGGTGCAATTTTGCTTTTCTATCAGAGAAAGCAATCAACATCCATACTCTCAGAGCTTAGCCAAAGTAAAATGCAACTTATGGGAAATATCAAAAACAAGGAGGGGGTGAAGGTTCTTACCTCACACCCATTAGCATGCCCAGTATCAAAACATGGAAAATAACAAGTGTTGGTGAGCGTGGCGAATCCTTGCCGCTGTTGGTGGGGACCTGACTTAGTAGAGCCGCATGGGGAACAGGACGGAGGTTGCTCAAAACACTAAACCACAGTGACCGCGGGATCCAGCAGTGCTACTCGGGATACGTACGCCAGGAAGCGGAGGCCATCTGTCAGGGAGACACCTGCACTGCCCGCTTCCTGCAGCACTGCTCAGAGTAGCCAGGACGTGGAGACCACCTCAGTGCCCGCCCGCTGACCAGCGATGAGGAGGGTGTGGCTTCCGTGCCCAGAACACTGTTCAGCCTCTCCAAAGGAGGACATCTGGCCCGTGCCGTGCTGTCACGTGGACAACCCTGAGACACCACGGGGAGTGACAGCTCAGCCAGGACAGGGCACCCACTGTCTCGTCCCCTCCGTGAGCTCTGTAAGCAGTCAAACTCACAGGGACATGAAACAGGAGGCGGGCACCAGGGGCAGGGAGAAGAGGAAATAGGATATGGAGTTCCAAGGGGACAGCGTTCCAGTTCTGCAGATGGAAAATTCTAGAACAACGTGAATGTGCTTAATGCTGCTGAGAATGAGGTGTGGAGGAGAAGGAAGACTGCTCAGGAGAGGCGGAGAGGTTTGTGAGCCGACTCCAGGCTGGGGAGCCCCAGGAAGACGAGTGACAGGATCTACCCTCAGGGCTGCGCGTGGCGGTAAAACAGGGCGCAGCCTCCCTTGGCAAGCAGCCACGGCTCTGGCTCCCAGAGCGGAGTTCCCTCTAGCCCCCTGCCCGGAAGCGGGCCTGTCTTTGCCTTCCCTGGCTCGGCCACGTGCGACTCCCCCTGCCCTGCAGCTCCCAGAGCTCCTGGTGTGGACCAGCACCTCTCGTGCGTCTGCCCTCAGCACTGCGTTGCGTTCTCACGACTGCCATACCTGGAGCAGGAGGGGTGAGGGTGCCACCCACCACTCCTGCCCTACGGTGACAGGCTCCATGGCACACGTGGTGCCCTGCAGAGCCCCCGGCGTGTCCCTGTCCTGTGCCAGCAGCCCTGACACCACCACGCGGCTTCCTAAGCTCTCCCTCCTGGAAAAGCACAGAACGGCCAGCCGCATCTCCAGCTTCCTCCTCTCCTACGTGCACAACCAGTGCAAGAGAAGAAAGGGCTTCCGGTACTGGGGGGCCTGTACTCCCCAGGCCGCAGCGCCCTGGAGGCGGGTGTGAGACGAGCCTGCCTCCGCGGGGCCCCGGACGCACGTCAGCGTCCTGATTCCCATCCGGCCGAGGCCTGCGGTTTCAACGACCACTTCACTGCCCTCCTGAGCTGCTGACACGTCCATCTACGGGACTTCTTGCTGAACACGGGGCTGCTTTCGCTGAGGACAACCACGCCGGTTAAGATTCCACTACGTGCCTTGCTCGGGGCAGCAGAGCGCAGCCGCAGGCGGGAGAACACCAGGGGTCTGAGCTCCCACCACGGCGGCCTCCTTGAAGTCGACCACTCGGACTCACTGTCCGATAGTCATTGCCGATAAGTAAATCAGCTCATCTACAGTAAAAAGAAAAGCCCTCGGCTAATCTGACTGTGAGACCATCATAGTTTTCATTACAGATACGTGGGGTCATCTCTGCTGACCTCTACACTGCACCACGCCGGAGAAGGGAATGCAAGAGCCCAAGGGCCCTTCATTCATTCACGTGCCTCACTTCATTCATTCATCACACACAAGCTTGCTCCCTGCCCCGCACCAGCCCAGGCCTGAGGACACAGATGTGGACAGGAGACAAGGTCACGGCTCTCAGGGCGCTGTCCGGGCAGAGCGCCTGGAAGGACCGGGTGTTTCTGAGACACAAAGGGTGAAGCCGTTGACTGCGCCCTGGTGGGTGGGGGCACAGCAGGAGCACAGGTGGGAGACAGCGGCAGCACCAAGGCCCCCGGGCTCCAAAGGCCGTGGAGACAGGAATGTGTTCCTTCTCAGGGTCATGGGAAGCAACAGAGAATGTAAGCAGAAAACCAGCCCGTCTGGTCCGATCACCCGAACCACGCTGGCTGCCTTTCGGACAGTGAGCACTGCCGGGCTCCACTCGGATTCTGTCCCTGTGCCTCTGTGGTAACGTGAAGCTGAGGGAGCTTCCAGGCCAGGCTGCCCTCAGCAGGTGCCCACGGCAGGCAGTGGGGGAGGGGCTCGAGGCCTGACTCCCGCCCCAGAGTGGCCATTCATTCAGTGCCTCACTTGGTTCATTCATCAAACACAAGCTTGCTCCCTGCCCGGCCCCAGCCCAGCCCTAGCCACCCCCGTGCTAGGCTTCTGGGCCAACCAGCCTCTACCAGTGTCGAGAACCTTCCAGAAAGACCATCGCATGTGCTCTTTCCACGGACAACTGACTCTGGCCGGCTTTTACCTCCAGGGCATGAGGACAGCTCACGTGGCTCCTGCTACACAGGTGCCGGGAAATGGAACGAGGATCCCAGAAGAGGAGAGGGGCAGCGCTGGGTGCGGAGGGCCCTCTGCAGCGCTGGCCTCCACTCGCCAGCCCGACCCCGCGCCCTCCTCCAGAAGCCTTGGCGAGGACACACGGGGCACCTTACCCGTGTGCGGTGGTGGGGACGCCGTGGGGCTGTGGGTGGCGGTCGGGCTGCTGGATGCCGAGGAAGGAGTCAGGTCCAAGGCCCCGATCCTGGAGTTCAAGGGCGACGTCAAAGACAGCTTCCTGGCCCTCACCGGGGAGGATGTCCTGGACGCAGCCAGCGGCGGTGGCGAGGAGAACTTGCGGCACAGCCGGGGGGATTTGCCATCCACCAGGTGTTCCCCTCTGCTGCCCTGGCTGGTGGCAAAGAATAGCTCCAGGGACCTGGAGACAAGAGCGGGTGCCGTGAACCTCCCCGAAGTCACTCAGGAACTGAGACCATGGCGCTGGGCTGTCCTCCCTCGAAGGCCCACGCAGCACACGGCTCACTCAAGGAACAGGCACGCCTCAGACCACGCGCCACCCCCAGCCACTCGGCTGTGCTGTGAAGCCCAACAGCGAGCACTCACCACGCAGGCGCCACCCACACCCCAGGACTCAGGCTCCGGACTGGGGCCGAGCCCCCGGTACACAGGACACCCCGCCCCCGTGGCTGACCCTCGGACACGGCAGAGTGTGAAAAGCACATCCGAGCAACAAGAAAACAAGAAGGCGAAGGCAGGGAGGGAAGGAGGAAAAAGAAACACCAAAATAATTTCCAATAATCCCAGAGCGAGCAAAGACTGCTCGGAGACGTCAGGGTCTCAACTTCCCCTGGGCGCCCTGTGCCGCCCTCGCTGGCGGAGACCAGTGAGCTGCGTCCACCTGCTGAGCCGGGACTGTGTGGGGCGGGTGCCCACCTGGCGGGGATGGAGGTGAAGGGCCTCTTGTAGACGTCGGCCAGCGTGCCCAGCACCACGGCGGCCGTGGTGAAGATGCGGTAGGTGTGCAGGAAGGTGTTCAGGAAGTCAATGCTCAGGAAGCGCAGGTCCGTGAGCCGCTCCAGCAGGCGCTCCACGCTGGCGTAGCGGATCTGCGGCACCTTGCAGGAGTTGAGCGTCTTGCTGAAGCAGATGTCCGTGTCGTCCTTGTGCAGACGGGCGTCCGACCTACGTGCAAAGCAGCCCTGGGTCACGACGCCAGGACGGTGCCCACCCGCAGCCCAGAACCTCAGGATGGACGCCACACAGTGACACAGCACAGCACGCGCACCCACGTGTCCACCACAGCGTGGGAAGGCCAGGGTTCACCGTGGGCAGCGCCAAGGTTTCACTTCTCCGGTTTCATTAGGGAACTGAAGCCAAAAGCTCCCATTCGGAGGTGGACAGAGCCTCGCTCGCGTGGTGAGGTCAGCCTCAGGAGCTGGGAGAGGGCAGCCCCTTCCCTGGGCTCAGAGTGGGGCTCCCGTTCCACCCCTCGTGCTGTGTACCTGCGCGCGCTCCTGCCTTCCTGACTGCACGGACAGCGTGCTCAGGCAGGCGGCCCCCAGAGCCCCTCGGACGCTGGCTCTCGCTGCCCGTCTGGGTCTTCCAGGACTACCATCTGCGCTCATCACTGCCATCCGCTCCGACAGCTGCCGTGCTCATCCTTTTCTAACTCCTCGATTCATTCATCTCATTCTTCCTGGCTCACAAGTACCTCTGCTATGCATTTTCTACACGTAACCTAACCCCTGCCTTCACTGTTCTGCACCATTCAGATGTCTTCATTTGAATAACCCAGGGGGGAAACAACACCGTCCCCTGAAGCAGGACCGCCCACATCACCACGCCCCCAGAGGACCCCACTCCGTCCAGCTGTCCACAGCCCTCCCCCTCAGCTCCAGCAGGACCACGGGAGTCTTTGCTCGCCCCCTTCACTGGGCATCTCAGAAGGAGCCCTGGCTGCAGCCCAGGCCTTCGCCCTTGGCTGAGGGACATGGCGCTGCAGCACCAGGCCTCCTGTGAGCGATTGCTGGCCCGGAACCCGCCAGCTCACTGTGCATGTCCCGAATCAGCATTTTGAGCCTTTCAAGGGACCGTAAATCATATGCTTATTTTCTGTAGGATAAAAAGCAATCAGTAGCATTCTGAGCACACTTGGGGGGTGGGAGGACACAGCTTCTAACTTTGGGCCTGACTGGGCATCTTCAGCGAGCAGCCGGCCCCTGCCGAGGCCTGACCTGGGCAGCCTCGCCGGACACAGACAAGGAGGGCTCAGAGCCTCTGAAGAGGGTGCGGCCCTGTCCCCACCTCTCCCTGTGTGCAGCAGCTCCCCTGGTCCTGCAGCTCTTTGCGCGTCGAAGAACCTGGTCAGTGCCCATGACTCTGCCAGGCCGTCCGAGGACAGTGACACAGTCACCTTCTCTGCCAGCATCGCCCGCCGTGACTCTGTGCCTCCTGAGCTGAGACCAGGCCCCCTGAGACGAGAGCCGGCTGCTGCCCGCCCCCGCCCCCGCCCCCGCCCTGGGGATGCGTTCACCCGAATGCAGTGAGCTCGCCTCCTACCCCAGCCTGGAGCGTGGCACCTCCTGATGACAGCTGGTTTCTCTGATACACGGAGGAATGAGTCTCACCAGCTCCCTGCCCGCCCTCCTCCCAAACCTGACTGCAGGCTGGGGAAGGAAATTCACGTGAAATTAGCTGATGGCTTTGATTACACCAAACAGGATCTTCTTTCATGTCCCAAGGGGCTTTCAAGAGCGCTGGAATGGTTACCGGGCCTCCTCTGACCAGGCAAGCGCTTGATAAACGCTTCAAAAGCAATCCCAAGAGGGTGAACCGCAATCATCCGTGCTAACTGGTAGGCTTCCGGAGGAAGGGAGTGCTTCCGAGGTGCAGCCTTCCTTGGAACAGGACACAGCTGCGACGGGATGGGGTGTTCTTGCCACTCTGGGAAAGGCAGCTTCCACACCCCCAGCACACACCCGGGAGACCCGGCCCCAGGGCAGAGCGGGAGCAACAGGAGGGACAGGCACTGCAGGACGGCGCTCGCTCCCGACTGGCGAGAACCTCACTCTGAGAGGGGTGAGCAGGGGCAAACGAACGTCACCCTGCCCACGGGCCACAGCCGGTGCAGTGCACACGCACTGGCTTCCCCCGACAATCCTCACAGCCCACGACACAGGTTTGCACCAGCGGGGTTCCTGTGTTGATGTGTGTGTGACTGGTCAGGGCCACTGCTCAGACGGCCACTGCTCAGAAGGCCACGGTGGTCAGAGCCACTGCTGAGACTGCCACAGTCAGAGCCACTTCTCAGGTGGTCAGGGTCAGGGCTACTGCTCAAATGGCCATGGTGAGGGCCACTGCTCAGATGGCATGGCGGTCAGGGGCAATGGCTGAGACTACAGGGTCCGGGCCACTGCTCAGACGGCCACAGTCAGAGCCACTTCTCAGGTGGTCAGGGTCAGGGCCACTGCTCAGATGGCATGGCAGTCAGGGCCACAGCTGAGACTGTAGGGACAGGGCCACTGCTCAGATGGCCACGGTAGTCAGAGCCACTGCTGAGACTGCCACAGTCAGAGCCACCTCTCAGGTGGCCAGGGCCACTGTTCAAATGGCCACGGTCAGGGCCACTGCTCAGATGGCCACAGTTAGGGGCAGAAGATGCTCCGAGTACCTGCCAAAACTGGGCAGGCACAGGATGACCATCTTAAGCAATGTCCATCTTTAAAGTCAACAGAAGGGGGCGCAGCAGGGCTGACGACTGACAGCCTCAGCTGACGCACATGGCTAGCTCTGAGCAGACGGGCCTCCGTGGCTGTCCAGGCTTCAGGGAAGTACTTTTCAAGAAGACTGAACATCACCATATCATTTTGTAAAATACTGAAAAAATACTAAAATACATATCATTTTGTAAAATACTGAGATAAGCATCTCACGGCAGCAAATAGGGCGACTCTACTCCAGTCCCGTGACCTTAGAACTGAAGCCACAATGTGGACCTTCGACTCAACACCCAGACCTGCTCTGAGTCTTGGCATCATCTGTGCACATTTGTTTCTTCTGAACGATACTAAATTTAAAAACCCAGATAACAGAGTGTGAAAGGATTCCTTGACCTTGGGTTTAAAAATGGCCCGACTCAGAATATTTTCAGTTTGAGTCACTCATGAAAACACGGCCATTATTTTATAACTGGCACGTTCCAGGGCATTAGCACCACGTGCTTGGCCTTCGTCTCACACGTGGATGAATCAATGGCACCCCTTGCGCCGTGGGACGAGGCTAACTGCAGTTAAGGCCTCTCTAAAGAGGAGCTGTCCTCTTAAACGCAACACTACCACCGCCTCTACATCAGCGGTGCAGGCGTTAAAATGTCACAGGAAACGAATGGAAGACAGTTTTGTTTTTTTTTTTTTTTTCAAAAAACTTCTTTTTTTGAAAGGCATAACAAAACCTGTCTTTAAAAAAAAAACATTTTACTCTTAGAATTGATAATGCAAGCGATCAAGAAAATGAGAGTAGAGAGCAAGTTGGTCAGCTTCCAAATGCCCCCAAGACAATTCCTGAACTTGAAAACAAACAAACATCTGGAAACAGAAGCACTGACATTTAGAGCCCCAGCGCACAGCTGCTGACGGAATTCCTTGTTTTAAACTGTGGCTCCCCTACTCATCACTTCAACAGTATTTTCTTTCTTTTTTAAAATTTTAATTATTTATGTGACAGGCAGAGAGAGAGTGAGAGAGCGAGAGAGAGAGAGAGCACAAGCTCTTTCTTCCCCTGATTCACTCTCCTAATGGCTGTAACACCCAGGGCTGGGCCAGGCCAGAATCAGGAGCCCAGAATGCTATCCAAGTCTCCCTGGATAGAATGGGCGGCAGGGCCCCAAGCACTGGTCTCACTTTTTGGCTGCCTTTCAGGTTGCTCTAGCAGGGAGCTGGATTGTAAGTGGAGCAGCAGAGACTCGAACCAGCCGTCTGATACGGGACAGCACTAGGCCCTAACCTGTTTCCCTAAAACGCAGACAGCAGGACGGCCGCCCCAGGCAAACAGCCTCTGAGGACACATACACGCGTGAGCGCGCACACAAGTGCACATATACACAGGGGCAGCGGGCCCCAGGGCGCAGCCAGCTACCCATGCTAGGTGTATAAAACTCCAGACGCAACTGTGTGGCCAAACTGGGGGATGCGACACATTCCCCCTGCCATACCTTGGTCTACCCTCCGACCTGGGACACACGTGACAGCCACTCCTCTACTGCTTTATACTGAACTTGAACACCCTTACAGGTTTTGTCCAGAGTGAAGGCGTGTGTGTCAGGATGAAAAACCCGCCGTGTGTGCCGCGAGGCAGCAAGGTGCACCACGAGCCTGAAAGACGTCGTGGTATGTCACTTTTCGTGGTGGCACACAGGAAGTTTCCCGTGATCGGGGCACGCTCCCAAGGCTGACGACGCGGGCCCAGGTTTTCCACCCTCTGCCGCTCTGGTCTGGACTGAAACGTAAGGGAACGAGGGGTCACACTCACTTGATCATGTGTGGCACGGTGACTTTGGAATTCTCTTCAAACACTATGGTCATCAAGCCGTTACATCGGATGTTGTCCACACACTGCGAAATCAAACAACAGACAGGTACATGACCATGCACCCCCAGAATCATCTGTAGCCCCTCCAAAATTTATCCTCTCACCTGTGTGTGGCCCTCCCTCCCTCTGCCACTCACTCACGCGTACCCACGCACAGATGCGCAGGGAAATATCATCCGCTGTTGAACAGATTCTGTAAACAGATCCCAAAACCGTGCACCCACCAAATGCGTGACAAGTACCTGAGCAACGACCCAAGGTCTGCACTGTCCCTCAGGAGTGCTGACCACAGGTCACCGTGTCACAATTCTCCGGTCCCAGCACTATTTGCAATGCTAGCACTCTGGACCTTCCAGCCCTGACTGCTCCTGCTATTTTCACTTACCGCCACCAGGGGGTGGTATGGAGTACCCAGACCAGAGTTTAGGGCTCCCATGAATGGAATCCACTTTGTCACAGAGAACCTCTAAGCCTGCTTCTCCGGTGCTTTTTGGGAAGCAGCAGAACCCCACATTTTGCTACTTTCTCTGGCAGTGTCTACTGGCACATGTTGGTTTGGGGACGGTAGTGTGTAATTTTGCAATTCATAAAGATTTTTCATAATATATTTTTAAAAAGATTTTTTATTTATTATTTGAAAGGAAGTCACAGAGAGGCAGAGGCAGAGAGAGGTCTTCCATCCGCTGGTTCACTCCCAGATGGCCACAACAGCCAGAGCTACGCCGATCTGAAGTCAGGAACCAGGAGCTTCTTCCAGGTCTCCCACATGGGTGAGGGGCCCTCCCAGGCCATGGCAGAGAGCTGGATCAGAAGTGGAGCATCTGGGACTCGAACTGGCATCCATATGGGATACCGGCACTGCAGGCGGTGGCCTTATCTGCTACACCACAAAGCCAGATCCATAATACGCTCTTTGCATGAACTATTTGAAGGTTCTTATATGCACGAATTTCAAGATTTTTGCAGCAGAATAAAACACCTTCCCATTCATTTTCCATGAACGTTCTAATTCCCACCACGTGTAGATGAGAAAGTGGATCACCGGAATTCCCTGTTGATGTCTACTTCACATATCAGACATTTTCATATTTATTTTTCCTTAAAAATTTGTTTTTCTCATGTCTTGTACCAACATTTCAACTACCGGAGGCATTATGGATTCCAACCTAGAGGAATAAAGTGGAGCCTCTGAAAGCTGCCATTCCATACATTTTTCTGGAAATAATTTGGGATTGTCTTTCTTTCTTTCTCTCTCTTTTTTTTTTTTTTTTTTTTTTTTTTGACAGGCAGAGTGGACAGTGAGAGAGAGAGACAGAGACAAAGGTCTTCCTTTGCCGTTGGTTCATCCTCCAATGGCCACCGCGGCTGGCGCGCTGTGGCCGGCGCATCGCGCTGATCCGATGGCAGGAGCCAGGTGCTTATCCTGGTCTCCTGTGGGGTGCAGGGCCCAAGCACTTGGGCCATCCTCCACTGCCTTCCTGGGCCACAGCAGAGAGCTGGCCTGGACGAGGGGCAACCGGGACAGAATCCGGCACCCCTACCAGGACTAGAACCCGGTGTGCCAGCGCCGCAAGGCGGAGGATTAGCCTAGTGAGCCGCGGCGCCTGCGGGATTATCTTTCTACAGGAATAATCATGGTTATCCAGTCTGGTTATATGTACTCATGTGTGAATTTGCACTCCATCCTATTTTCCCAAGGTGGCTGAAAAGCCCGTACAAGACGACGAAAGTCAAGAGGAGAGACGCTATCAGGGAGGCGGGACGAAGGTGGGGAATGACAAGAAGCCTGGGACCGGGCCGCCACGTGCACTTCAGGTTGAGACCATCGGCTACGCGTGGGCCTCCAGTCAGCTGGGCTATGGCGTAGCCAACTCAAGGAGGGACACGCCAGAAGCTACGACACACGCAGGGTAATGAACGTGCAGTGGCTTCCAGTCTGAGACCAGAGAAAAATCCTGGATTTCTGTTTAAAGGTATATTGAATAATGTAGTCAACAGTGTACGCGCACAATATCGTTAAAGTAACCACAAGATTTACCCAACTGCTTGTGTCAACCTGGCGGAGACAGACCCCAAAGAGCAAGCCAGCGATGGCCCCAAGGATGCCATGGGGGCCCGGCCTCCCTCTGCTGCCCGGGGTCCAGGCACAGGCCAGGCTTCAGAGCGCCACACGCAGGCCTGTCACCCCCGTGCATGCAGGCCTGGAGCAGCAGGAAGTTGTAAATGGTGTCCTCCCAGCACACCCGTGCGCCACAGTCTGTGCGCCCAGCGTTCCCACCAGCGAGGTGGCGTCCTGAGCCTCCTCTAGGGGAGACCTGCCTCCTGGTCAGGGCCGGAGCACCACAGCGTCCCCACGGCTAACCAGGGACACACATGGAAGAAGAGACGGGGCGGGCTGGCGCACGAGTCCATGATGGACAGACGAGCTGGCTGGGCCGGCCCACGGGAGAGGAACCTGGAGTTGGCGTGCACCCCAAAGGCTCACGGGAAGCCACAGAAGGCTCCTCTGTGTGGAGAAGTCCACCCTGGCGCTGCAGAGGCTCTCGGCAGGAGGGGACAACAGGGCAGACTCGAGGGTCCTCAGGATGCCCCTCGTGAGTCGGCAGGGGAACGGCTCCTGTCTCCCGAGGCGTGGAGCCGCGACAAGGAGGAAGCTTGGACACAAGCGCTCTGAGGACGGCATAACAGAAACTCAGGAGGCACTGAATAAATCCAAGATGGGGGAAATTTAGGTAAAAAGCCAAGAGAACCACTGCCGTGAGAAACTCTCACACTTCCCGAGACAGAAGTCTTAGAAGCGGTACAGCACAGCCAAGCAGGCGTGGAAGGATGCAGAGTTAGCCGGCACCAATCACCTTCTGAGTCCTCACGAGCACCGCGAACACGCACCGGACACACGCAATGAGGTGTTTCTAGGTGGGTGTCTCACACGTGCATTTATTAGGCACTTCCTGTGTGAGACAGCGGGCTGCGCGGAGGAGGGAGAGGAGGGGCAGGCCATTGAGGGAGCTCCCAGGACGAGGCCAGCCGCTCACAACCTCGCCCCCAACTCCACTGGAGAAGTGGATCAGGGGACCCCAGTTCTTACTCCTCCAGGCGGCCGGGACAAGGACAGTGGATGCACACAGGCAGGGAGGAGAGGGGTAGGAGACCTCCATTCCCACGGCCTCCTCGCTACCCACACACTTCCTGCACTCTCACGTTCCCAAAGCAGAGCAGGGCGACCACACAGACATGGCGATGGGGGCTTTGGAAGATGGTCACCGCCCCTTCACGTGCTGTAACTCCCAACAGACACACAAGCGCAGGGCCAACAGCCTTCAGTGAGGACCCCAACGTGGAGCTCCTGCCGGGCTCCAAAAGGACAAGCCGGGTGTCTGAGCTGTGCCTGCTCAGAACTGGGCCTCACTCGGCAGCCTCCCGGGACTCAGAGCCCAAGCCCCTGGGGAACACGGCACCTGGCTGGGAACCGCACACCGGGAGGGGATGCAAGCAGGCACGTCACAGCCCGAGCCGGCAGCACCCCGCACGCCCACAGACGGCCCACCACAGGGCACCCACGTTCCCGCAGGCTGCCTGGGCCCACGCCCATCCTGCTGGAGACCAGCAGAGAAGTGACTCTCACCTTTTCAAAAAGGGAACCGAGAGGAAGGGGGCTCGGATCCCGGCTTCCTAGGGATCCTGCCACACTGCTAGTGTGCTCCCACGGGCCCCAAGAGGAGCCTGGAAGTGTGATCCGGGTGCCAAGGGTTGGGAGACAGGCCCCTCCGCCGGCCCAGACTCTCCTGTTTCCAATGTGAGCAGCAGGCACGGTCCTCCTCCCGCTCCCCTGCTGTGGCTCCCAGAGACCTCTGATCAGACACAGTGCCACGGCCACGGCACTGCACACGAGGCGGGAGAGGACATGAAAAATTAACCTCGTGGGAAGTATACTACGGCAGCTGAGGTAGTATTCTGTAACTTCAGGCATGAAGTTATGGAAAAGAGAACTACACAGGGAAAGTAAGTCTCTCTCTCTCTCCCTCTCTCTCTCTCACACACAGACACACACAGACACACACACACACACACACACACACACACACACACACACACGAGACATGAAAAACTAAGAATGTAACAGTATCAATCCTTTTGCTTCTTAAATCAATCCTCAGCCATCTCAGAAATACCATGGCGCCTCGAGGGCATCATGTTATCTTACCTCTCTGCCTTCATAAATATGGAGACTCACAATGTGGAGTTCAAGGATAGGGAAAAAGGGAATAGAGGGCTGGCACTGTGGTGCAGTGAGCTAAGCCTCTGCCTGAAGCGCCGGCATCCCATGTGGACGCCGGTTCCAGTCCCGGCTGCTCCACTTCCCATCCAGCTCTCTGCTATGGCCTGGGAAAGCAGTGGAGGATGGCCCAAGAACTTAGGCCCTGGCACCCACCTGGGAGACTGGAAAAAGCTCCTGGCTCCTGGCTTTGGATCCACCATTTAAGAAAGAATCCTTATTTTTTAAAAAAGGGAATAGATATAGAATTTTAATGTTACTATTTTAAATTATGAAATACTTCAAATACACAGGTGAGACAGTCACATACGAGCCACCTCACCTGAGCTAATGTGGCCCTTACCTTGGCCAAGCTTGCCATGGATCAGCCCTTTTCTTTCAAGGCCACAGAACACTGGGACACGGCTAAAGCCCCTTCCTCCACTCTAGAACACCCATGCCACCCCAGAAACCCCTCCATTCCGAAGCCGATGGGCATCCTCTGTCCTTCTTTGCCTGCTTCTGATTTTACCATATGTGCATGTATTTGCCCATAGCAATATACAATACTATTTCATAAAAAATCTACAGATGTTCATATTGTTTCCCCCAACACTGTTTTTGAATTATTTATTTATTGTTTGCATGTACAGATCATTCATTCACTTTACCCATTCTATGGTATAAACATACACATTACAGTTTCTGTATCCCATCTCATGTACACACCTACAGTGACTATTCTTACATATTTCTCCTTGTAACTTT